GACGTGTGCTCTTCCGATCTCCCCAAAACCCCAAAACCCCAAAACCCCATCAAGTATTTTATATTTGAAATATGAGAATAGATAAATTATAAACAATGTGCTATGTCTGTTGTGTATGTTTCTTATAATTAGGAGTATATTATTCATCATTCATATTGATTAGTTTAGGCACTATTTTCGAGCAAGAAATTTATCGCCTACGAGAATATAAAGCCCCAAGCAGTTGATTAGAATGGCAACTAATAGCAAAGTTTTCCTCCAACTGTGTTTGAATTAGCTCCAAGCCAAATCTTGTCAGTTTTAGAGGTAATTGGATTGTAAGTATAAAAAGTAACTTGCTCATCGTTACTATCTACACAAGCATCTAAGATCTTCTTATTACTGAAGTTATCAAAGTTGCAAAGAGATTCAAGAATTACTTTATAGCAATCTTGAAAGTTCATCGACGTCTCAACTGTAAATTTGATTTCATCATCAACGTTCCATCCAATATTCACACACACATTTTTATTATTGACGAAGTAATTGATTTCAGCGTAAGCATTTGCTCTAAACTATGTCAAATCAGCTGTGATCTCGCCAAAATAAGCCTTTTCTAAATTAAACTCTGGATGCAGTTGAAATGATGGTTCAGCATAAATGTTTAATCTCGTCCCCCAATATTTATAGGTCTGTCCATTGTAGAGGTCATAAGTCTACTCAAAATCCCAACCTGCTCTCAGTTCAGATTAAGTGTCTATAACTAAATAATTTCCGTCGCCAAAGTTTAGATCTAGCAGTCTGCAATCATAAGCAGCTACTCTTGGGGATGTAACTTGTCTATTTTAAGCTTTTACTATGTAAGTTTTTCTTTGATATGATTCGGAGACTATGGCTATTAGCAACATCAAAATGATTGCCATTTATTTATAACTTCTTGCTTTCATATTTTACAATTATTTATAATGTTATATCATAATTTCAATACATCTGTTTTAAATCACTAACCCTTAAAGATGGGGTTTTATAGAGAATTAATGTATTTATTTAAATAAATCAATATATATATATACTTCTATTACTTATCAGTAATTAATAGGCTTTAAATTGTTTATATTTTACTCGTGATATAGTCCGTAATTAATTTTTATTACTTTACTTTTCTTAATCATATTATCTTTTACCATCTAACCTTAGAAATCACTCTATAGATTTCTCAATATTTTCCTATTTGAATCATTATTTAGATTATGTTCATTATTCTGATAGTTTTGATTTTATATTGCTTAAGTTTAGGCATCTAAATGATCACTAGTTTCACTCATCAATACAATTTCATTTCTAATTCTAATACCCTCCTATTATTTTTTGACAGCATTTAGAAGATTTCTTTACTTTGCAGAGAATCTGTCTAGAGTAACTATATCTTAAATCTAGTATTGTTTCATTGATTTTCCTGATTTATTAAGCATTGTAATATTTGTATCTACCTCCTCAATAGCATTTGTATCTTAACTTATTATGACAGTTTTTGAAAGATCATTTTTTAATTTTCGCTTTTTGAGGATCAGTCTAATAAAATCTACTAAACTTGAAATCACAATGATTAGCATAATAAGAAAATTCACAAAAATATTAAAACAAATCACTAAGGAAAATGTCCAGCCTACGTTTATCTAAGATTAAGAGTCACCAACAATATCAGTAAATACAAAGCACATATAGAGGCATGATAAGAATGTAAATTCATTGAACAAATCTATTTGCAATTAAAATGACTTTTCCAAAGGCTTTGTTCTTATCAAGTAAAATATTACAATGTATGAAGCGCATATCTATAGATATATTTGCAGAAGAAACCCGAAAAATGCAATTGAAAAAGCAAAAAATAATCTTCGAACCAAAAACAAAACTAAATAATATTGAAAGTATTACTTTTCTAAATTAGCATTCTCAAATAATGTACTAAATCTCTCAAGAAATAGCTGGTCTTGGATTCTGTATTTATTTTTATTATACAAAAAGATCACATATAGAGGTAGTAATAACAAGAGTATCAAAAAAATGATAGTGAAAATTATATTAACTTTTAGTTTCCAATCATAATAGTAGAAATAACTAAATATTATCTAAAATACCATAATTGCACATTAAAAATAGTTTTCAATAGCTATTCTGAAAAACCAACTATAATAAAATTTCATTTGGAAGTTCTTATAAAATTCAAAAGCCTTTCTTTTAATAAAAGTTTTTTCACTGTTGCTAGGATAATTTAAATCGATATCGCAAAGATTAATTAGCATTTTATCGATTCCAATAGCTATTACTCCAATGATTGTTAAGATAAAGAAACTCTTCATGATAATCATTATGTAAATACTTTCATAGCCTAGTAGCTAGAAATACATATTCAATTCATATTCATTTGAAGATATCTCATCTGAGCTACTTATTAAAGGGATTTGATTGAGGAAATCAAAGTCAGGAATCAGCTTCATGTTAGCTAAGTCAACTAGAAATGTTATCAAGTAATAAGCGTTTGCTGGGAAATATACGGAAAAAAGAGGCAAATGTGATATTAGTTAAAGGTTGTTTATTGTACCCCAGAGTAAAGACAGCACTTGTTACAAAAAGAATTGAATGATCAGACTAGAGTATATAGCTGCTTACATTGAGGACTAAACTTGATTACCTAAATTCTATACAGTTTGCAAAGTTTCTAAAAATGCATTATAGAATGTTTTTCTTACATGAATTTACTTGCTGTGGCAATTTCTTAATTAAGATTATTTTATTGTTTTAGCTTTATAATTCTCTTTTAAGGCTATTTTAAGTAATTTAATTGATGACTGAAATCTCTATTCTTACTTAATCGTATCTCTAAATCAATAGATATATGGAGGTAAATCCTTACCTATCTTTCTGAAATGAGTTCTGGGTTGTTGAATTCTAGTTTAATCTAAGCTACTCTTTATGAATAAGATTCAATAGACCATTTAAGAAGTTCTTTTGGGGGTAATTTATCTGATTCAAATTTTGTCTATATTTAGAGTTCTAAAAAAGATTTTTAAACATCCACAAACGTAGCATCCTGATTGAATTTCAAGTATATTTTTCCGTCTAATGTTGCTCTCATAATTTTTGCTTGAAAATCAATTATTTTTTTAGATTTTTATTGAGTTGCATTGGAATTGGATAAAGTTTAATTTTGAAAAAAGTCATAACTGGACCAATCACTACTTGGATCTGTCGATTGGCTACTGTCGTTTGTATTTGTAGATGAATTTTATTATTGCTAGGCAGGCTGATTCTTAGCAATTACTTTAATAGTGAAACTATAATAATTGCTTAATGATGGTGACCCACTATCCTTTAAATTTATATCAATCTTATAGCTTCCAATATTAGCTACTTTTGGCTGAATTCTAAGTATTTTTTCCCTCTGTTCGACAAATTAAAAGGCTTTTTTAATATCAACTTCCATAGTTACCTAATCTAAGTCAGAATCGAAATAATCAGGTAGAGTGTATTCTGTTATCTAATCCTCTTCAACTGTTAAATCTTGAAGTTTTATTGCAAAAGTGGGTTTGAATAAATTTATATTCTTTATTATTCTACTAGGCAATATATTAAGATACCACTCGAAAGAATTGTCAACCACCCATAATAAATCATTCGTTGCTTTTGCCTGAATAAATATTTTGTATTAGGAACCAACCTAAGTAGTATCACTTGTTTGCAATGTATATCTTAGTTAATCATTCTAAAAACTGATATAGTTAGGTAAAGCAGAGCCACCGTCTACAAATGAAGTAATTATATAATAGTAGCCACAGTTATTTGTGTAATACAATGAAGTCGAAAAATCCACAATTAGTGTTGGATCTTCTAAATTGTAATAAAAATTATTATTTGCTCCGTTAAAGTGCTTAGTAACAACTGCTGTACATTTAATTTCTAAGCTAAAGTCTTTAATTGAGTAAACAGCTGAATTTAGAGGATTTGTGTATTTTATTTGAAAATCATATACTCCTACATTGACTAAATCTGTAGTATAAATCTCAATTTGTGAATATGTAGGATTAAGGCTAATAACTTAAGGAGGATTTGGAGTAATTTGAGATGTGTAGATTATTTCCCTTATAGGCTAATCACAAACCTAATATGATTATTCCCATGGAATAATCGGTATGTTTTATATGGGATCAGCTATTTGATAGACATAGAGACCATTAGGAAATTATAAAGCATACTAGTTGGAGGCGCATAGAACTACTACTATATTGAGAGTTACAGATAATTGCTATCCATCAGGCAGTGTACAGTTCACAGTGACTATATTGGTTGAACTAACTAAATCTCCTCAATTTTTAGAAATTATTGAGTTAGCAAATTAGAAATTAATAGAATTACTCAACTAGTTGGCTAAACTATAGACTCTGTATTTATCATTGCAATCTTTATCTCCAAGAAAATAAGCTTCAGAATCGAGATTAAAATCTCCATCTTCAATAACATGAGTATAAGAATGATTAGTTTGACCATTAAGAGTTACAAGATTACATTTAGGATTACATACAGCGCTTGTATAAGATTTATACTATATCATGTCCAAAGGCCTAATAGGCACTAAAAGCAGTGTCTCGAATTTATATTCGATACTTTGGAACGGAAAATTAAGTGATTGTAAAGGCTTTGTAAAGCTGATAAATATTGGAGGCACAAAGACTTCTGGTGTATTAGAAGATAGACAAATTTCACTCATGTCATTTGAAATTATAAATCCTTCTTTATTGCTAATTGATAATCTTGGGTTTATTTAGCTACCCACGAAAATATACTTATTTTAATTCAGGATTTTTGCTTCGAAAATTGTAGATTAGAATTAATACTCAAAAGTTTTCTTTTCCATCTATGCTTTTTATCCGAGATAATCAATATTGAAGTATCTTTAAAAAATAGCCTATTTTGTGACTGGATGCAAGGACAAAACATAAACCTCTAATTCAGAGACAATAAATAGGTCCTCACATTTCAAGAAAATATTCTATGAAAACAGTCCTTAATCAGTAGGAGCATTGGATCCAATTGAGAATTTCAAGAAAAACAATTAAGTTTTTAACAGAACAGGAGAGACAGCATCATAAATCCATCCACAAGCAAAAATATATTAGTCAGCATTCTTAACTCTAGCAGAATCTATTGCTACCTCATGATTGAACTTAAAGCCATATGCCCATCTTTATATCCCTTCCTAAACAGAAATCTTGTGAATAACTTAATATATTGAGTAAGGTGTTGCCCAGTTTGCAGATTCATAAAAACTGTATCTAGCGCCAATATATATAATAGACTAACTTTAATCTAGTGATAGGTGAAAGCCTTAAGAAACATCAGAACTCACTGAATTACCTTCTTGAAAAGCCCAAATAGAATTGAAAGTTGGATTCGAGGAAAGTGAAATCTTTAAGACTACAACTTACTTATTTGATCCCTTAAAAAATGTCATATAGATAGAGCCATCTGTTGAAAAGACAACATTTTAGTTAAACACAGACTTAATATCCCCGATTGTTCCACCTGGTTTCAGCGTTTTATCCTTGAAAAAGTAATCTATTTTAAGAGTTTCTAAGCTAAAAACAAGAAAGTAAACCTCAAAGCTAGTCAAATCCGATAAAACTATCAGTGCTTACTAAGATATAATTGGAGCTTTTCTGAATTTAATTAGACTAACCTCCATATTATATAATTCGCCAAAAGCAAATGCGAATTCCTTAGTCCAGTCAGTAGAATAATAAACTAAAAAAGGATATTTCAAGCTATTTGTGTCAAGTGCAGTTGAGGAAATTACGCCTCCAACTATTATATTTTGTGAATTATCAATGTCGAATCCAGAATAAAATGAATCTTTTGTAGCATCTCCAAAACTTCTTGGGTATTTATCAAAGCATTAAATTTAGGCGTAGACATCCATGAAATTAATTTGTGATGTCATTAGGAAGAGTATAATATATGCAGCATAATAATTTCGCTTCATTTTGATAATTAAATGATCAAATTAAATGTAAGTTTTAAAACATAGCTTTGTATTTGTATTTAAGACTTTTAGATTTCATCAAATTTAGCTTTAAGGGGTTTTGGGGTTTTGGGGTTTTGGGG